AGAGAGAGAGAGAGAGAGAGAGAGAGAGAGAGAGAGAGAGAGAGAGAGAGAGAGAGAGAGAGAGAGAGAGAGAGAGAGAGAGAGAGAAGAGTCTGCGTGTGAAGGGCGCTCACGAGGGAGCGCGCGGTTGTGTACTACCCCGGTCTCTTCTAGTGAGAGAATGAACTGCCGGGTGCTGTCTGCATGTGCATTATTCGTATATATAGGCTGAACGTCTCCAAAAAACCTTTCAACCAAAAAAGCGAGAGAAAGGGAGGGGAAGGGACGCGGAGTGGAACTCCGGTTTTCCTTGGTTCCACAGCATCCTACAAAACGAACAAATTATCTCTTCCAAAAGGAGAAAAACCTCAAGGATTGAGGACTTCCCGGGTCGGGCAGCTGCACCTGCTGGAAATAAGGTTCAAGCCCCACAGGCGTGCGAAACCGACACGGTTTCCGCGTGGGCGCTTTCCACCAATTATCCMATAATAAGCGATCCATTCYGACATATGTCGCAGCCCTCACGTGTCCATCTGTCGCTTGCAAAACCAGCGTTTGGCCTGTTCTCACATCCAGGTGCGATTAGCTCCTCCACTCCACCAAACTCTATTTCCCATGGTGAGTACTCTCTCCCGTGGGGACTCTTCTCACCAAAAAGGTTCGTTTGTTCGTTTGTTTATATACATAGCCCCTCGTTTGCTGTCCTCTTCTCCCTCTCTGCCTACGGTTTACCGGGCAGCTCCGTTTGACTATATACATCTATCTATCTATCTATCTATCTATCTATCTATCTATCTATCTATATAGCATTTTTTATTTTATTTTCGGTGCCTAATGGACCACAGTACAGATATCAAAGTGATCAGAACATATACTACTCTTGATCTTACTTAGCCAAAACGCTGCAGCCTCGCTCCAGCACTCACCAGAGTCACCACACTTGTTCATCACCAGATGAGTGTGGTGAGCTGAGCACTTTTGCGGAGAGAGTGCCAGAAGAGCCTCCGCAACCCCGAAGCAGGAAAAGAAAACTTAGGTGCCTGCCTACTCACCATATCCTCTAACCACGAAGGAAAAAGCTACTTCCGACACAGCGGCGGCGGTGAGTGGTAGAGCCATGAAGCAACTCTCACCAAACAGCCGCTGTGGTGAGCGGTGGAGCCAGGCCCWTTAGCAGAACTTGCCAGAAAGTACGGACACAAKCCAGATGTCTGCAAACACGCATTGCAGACAAGGAGTCGTCTAGACTAAGTTACCTTGAAAAGTCCCTTGGGACATCCGTTAAATTTCGAACGATACAGAGAAGATTAACATGGGCCCTGTGTAAGGATGACAGGAATAAATCGAGAAATGGCCCAAATTATTAAAAAAAAAAAAAAAAAAAAAGACTCGAAATTTGGGGTCGGGGTGCTCTTCCAGTGCTTTGGAGCCCGTCAATGTAGCCGTAGCAGGTCCATGGCCAGGCGCACAGGGTTCGAGGGTTCCTCTTTGCCAGACTGTACTCTCAAACCTGTCCTTGGAGATAGAAAAGTACCACAGTGCAGTGTGGTGTTTTTTTTGCATTTCCTCTGTTCCATTGTACTCTCATTCTTTTGGGGGGCAATTAGAGAGTGGCTTGGCATGAGCCGCTCTATGAGAGGCGCCCTGGAGAATTTCTTGCAGTTAATTTCAAATTCTCCGTTAATTTCAAATTCTCCTGAACCGGTTTCTTGTTGTATGCATTCCTAGAAAGCCCCCTTTGTATATTAGGCTTTGGAGTAGTTGTAGCCTTGTCGGTAGGTAGTGAAAGGCGCATTGAGAGCAATAGCTTAGTTTTGAATTTAAAAAAAAAGAAAAGAAAAGAAAAAAACACGACAGATACTTTACTTTCTCAGAAGAGTCAGAGTTTAGACCGTGGTTTTGCCTACTAACATGTACAAACAGGGAAATTCAATCGCCAAGCCATAAAAAAAACGAAGTTGACAGTTGTTTCTCAGCCAATAAAACTTTAGGACCTGTCACTCCGTATCATAATGCTGATTCCCGTCCCCTCTCTGCGTCCGGTTCGAGGCAGGGGCCTTCAGCGAATTTCCTTCGGCCCCCTCTTTGCGTAGATGACATGAGCAAAAGCTTAAGGGAACGACCCAAAGAGCAGGCATACCTTTTCTCTTCCCGTCCCCTCCTTCCTCTGAGACACATGTGGCTACAAAGTCAAACGGCCATGCTATGCTACGAACCTCGTGAATCKCGATTCTTCATTTTTGGATGAATATGGCCACATTTACATGATTTACTGTTTACATCCAGTTGAACTGAATATACCGAAAATTTCATGCCGCAGTGATAACACGCACAGACAGACACACACA